ATGGTATTGTTATCTTCTCTGGCATTGGTTATTTATCACATAGACTTAACTCAGATGTGAGAAAATTTGTCGAGGGTCAAATGAGCCTAGTATTTATTGTTTATCCTGAACTTCTCTCATCGATTAAAGGTGCACCATTTTTTTCTGTACTATTTTTTGTTATGCTTATTACACTTGGCTTAGACAGTGTATTCTGCGGCGTTGAATGTATATACACAGCCATTTCCGATGAATTTTCTATTTTTCGATCAAAACCACGTCTGTCAAGAGCTGGTGTTGTGCTCATATCATTTATTGCCTCAATACCAACTTTAACACATGGTGGAAGATATGTAGTGCATTTTATGGACTTTTTTGGTACATCACCGGCCATCATGTTAGTTGTATTATGTGAATTAATTGCCACTTGTTGGCTATATGGTATCAAACAATTCTCTATCAACGTAGAAGAAATGACGGGAAAAAAACCAAGTATCTATTGGCGAGTAACATGTTGTTTTATCGCACCCATCATCCTATGTGTATTATACATCTGTTCTTTTGTTCAATTTAATACCCAAGAATTTACATCGTTCGGTGATAGCAACACTGTTATACGTTTAAGTATAGCAGGTTGGTCGATAAGTACTTTATCAACATTACCCATACCCATCTATGCCATATGGTGGGCTTTCTCAGAGAGACGGAAATCTTGCTCAACATCAACTGTAAAGAATAATTTGTCATTATCATTAAAGTCGAATAGTATATTAGAAGTAAACAGTACTTTAACAAATAAGGAGAGCCAAACTAATCCTGTTGTGGCTGAAAAACAACCTCTTGTGTGAAATAAGTTTTATATAAAAAATATGAGTGTTTTCATTTTCATAGTTTTATGCCATATAACCAATTAAACGTATTAATCTCATGGTAACAGTAGATAACAGAGACCTAGTTGAGTCAACAAGAAAATGAGTGCACACAAACATTGCATGGCAGTTCAAACAATGTAATTATATTTCCCAATTATGATAGAATGGTGTACCGTTAATAATGTCTGAGTTGTCTAATAAGTTTTTGATGTAACAATAGTATGATGATTCTATTCATTCTCCTTACTCTCAGAAGATACATCGAATATTTGTTGAATTAATGGTTAATGGTGTTCTCAACTATTTTTGATTTTCATCGCAACAACCATCGATCAGCGACACAATCATTGGCCAAGTCATTGTCGTAGAAACTCAATGCGAACATGCCAATCATCATTCTATTCACAGTGAATTCGAGTGGCTGAATGTGTGTTCGAAGACACCCTTCGAGAGAAAGGGATCGAGTGTAGAACGTTCCATTCCTGGTAACATTCTAAAACGTAAATGATAGACTGACTTCAGCAGCCCGATCTGAGTGACGATGCTCTTCGGTCCGACAATTGATAAATCATTTCTTAACAGATAGTGATGATGGTGTTTGTTTACTGGAGCCCATGTACAAGAGCATTTATTAGAAAGGACGAGGTCGATAAGAAGCAAAATCGGCCCCTCTCAGATCAAGCTCATATTCACAAGTCTGATGTAGTTTTTCTCGGTGATTAAAACTAGCATTTCAAGAAAAACATTTTCAGCCCCCCTGGAAAAAATTCCGCATCCAAACTTTCCTCCTCTTAAATGAACTTTATTTAGAATATTTTTCAATTTCTCCTCTTTGCTCAACGAAAACCTCAACTACTGCACATCATTCGATAGAGAACGTCGTGAGCTACAAAATAATATATATAATATTGCGAACAAATGCGGCGCGGGGATCCTAACACTAGTCCTAAATACTAGCCCCAACCTCCACAAATCCATAGGTCAACAGCGTTTATCGCTTATATTGTCCAACCAGTTTATCGTTAACCACGCCACTTTATATATCATTCGATAGAGAATTTCACTAGCTACAAAATGATATATATATACTTAAATTGTTTTGAATAGATATATCTCATCCTTTTGACTTGCATTGTGTTGAACAAAGATATTTTGTGAATTTTCAACACAGAATATGTCTCTCTCGTCTGTGCGAATATATATATATAGATGTGTTTCGATGCTTTTGGTTGTTTGAGTGGTTTGGAATAAAAGTGATTATAGTTAAGGGAGATTTGCACAGTTTACTTGTATAATGGATCGTTCTTGTTCTTGCGGAGCTCGTTTATTTAGAGCGTCTAGTTTTCGACGATTAGCATCACCGGTATTTCGTATGTTTATGTCGATACGTGTATTGAAAACGCTTCCGTCGCACACGAAAGTTTGTAATAAATGTCGCCAGTCATATGCGTATTGGAAAAGATGTAATCCGGAATTTACAAATATTTTCGACCGGATCGAAGAAGAGTTTGTTGGAAATGGTGAATCAGAGGATGATCAGGTAAGTGAAACACTGATGATTATTTCTATGACGTCGTATACAGCAACCTGTTTTATTGTTGTTTTCAGATAGAAGATATAGATATAAATGTTTGCTCTGCGGTAAGAAATTTATCAGACAAAGAATGTCAAACTATAGAACAGGATGATGGAACGCCGAGTATTACGTTGCTACTTAATTGTACAGTTTGCTCTCATAAGTAAGTAAATGGTCTGAACTAACTGACTGCAACAACATCATTAATTTTGAATATACTGGATTTCTTTGTTTATAGAACGTGTTGTATTTGTCGGGCTCATACTGATGGTTCGTCAAAGACCGTAGCAGTTGAAGATCGAAATATGATTTTTCTAACGAAAAATGTTATGAGACGTAAAGGCTCAAGGTGTTGTGGTGAACATTTAGAGGATGGTCGTTTAATACTCGATACAATAAATATAGTCAAGCTACACAAGATCAAAAGTACCATATTTAAAGATTTTAAGTATCAAATTTAATAATTTAAATTCATCTAAGATGGGAGATGTTCAATTGTTAATAAATACGTCGCAAATGTTTTACAATAAAAAAAAAAAGTTTAGATTTCGATGATTGTAATGCGATTTCTAATGATGAGTATTATACCTTGACGAGCTTAAACAAAGCACAATTTGATAATTTAATAAAAGAGATAGCAGTTGCATCATTTCGTAATACGTTAATTAGATCGATACGCACAGCGGTGGCTTGTTTATTATGTTAATTACGGTTGGGTTTATCTAATACAGTTCTGGGTTTATTATTCGAATTACCAGTTAAACGAGCTGTATCTCGAGTTATTGAAAGTGCTCGTAAAGCACTATTGGAAAGTTTTGTTCCCGATCACCTTGGATTTTCTATATTAATCGTCGTCAGATAATAGATAATCACACAACAACGATAGCACGTGAACTTATGGGTGGAAGAAATGACACACTTGTGCTGGTTATCGGTGGAACATACATTTATATACAAGTAAATGAAAAGGTATTCTTAATTTTATTTTTCAACCTTATTTTAATTATAGAAAAGCCGAAACAACCAGTTTCAGAGAAAAACATTTAACCTGTACAAAAAGAAATCTCTGTTAAAACCAATGATGATAGTTACGACCAGTGGATACATTGTTGCCTACATCGGTCCTTTCTTTTCGGACTATTCAAACAACGATGCGGCACTGATGAAAGACATTTTATTAAAAAATACGGACAACATATTGAAATTGATTGAACAAGTACTTAACATATAAATTAATGCAACATATCTTGTTTAATTGCTAAAGCCTTTTATATTTAGAATGATGTATTTGTTGTAGACCGAGGTTCTAGGGATAGTTTAGGAGTGATGCATGCTTAAGGCTTGGATGTGGCAATGCCACCATTTTTAGACGGTCAAAAACAATTTTCAACATCAAGTGCATATAACGAAAGTACGATGAGTGGTAGAGGCTGTAAATGGACGGTTAAAAAATGACGCCTTCTTTAACAAAACAGTACAAAATTCGTCGCTGGGGTTTGTCGAAGATTATCTTTCGATAGTCTGTGCTTTGATAAACTGCTATAGAGAACCAATTGCAAAACTGGAGATGTTGATGTTAGTGGAATAATGCTGTCACTTCTCAAACTCCCATGCGGTAATAACTACCTACCATTACTTCACTACCTAGAATTGTAAGTTTTTTTAGCTGATACAACAACACAATTTGTCTCGAACTTCTCAATGGGAAAATATTGATGTAACGTCACTCTTTTCGACATTCCCATTGTTATCCGAAGAGATAGGAGATATAACTTTAGGTAACACATCATAAAGGTTCTCTTATTCCACAAAGCCTTACGTGCTATTTGACTATTCTAGGGGTATTTCAGTTGAGGAGTACAAGATCGTATGCCGAAGAGCATTGTCCTTCAACCAAACTAACCGAACCGGTTACTTATCTTGTCCAAAAGTGCAAAACAATCGCAAACATGATAAGAGTAACAACACAATCAGCACATGCCACACGGAAATCTTACTACGCAGTCATACAATTTAACAAATACGAGATCACTGGCTGGTATTGCGAATGCTCAATCGGAAACCGTATTCTTGGATGCTGCAGTCATGTTGCTTCTGCCATTTGGTTCTTAAGCTACGAGCGTTGGCAGACCAAACCGCGCGTCATGTCCTCCGGCGATTTTGCCCAACTATTTACAGACAGTATTCAAGTTTCAGACTTTTGTGATTCAACCGATGATGAAGATGTAAATACTAGCTATTCTTTAAAATAAAAACACTTTGACATACATGACCCTAACCATAGACCCCAACACAAGTATCAACATCTTGTGGCCCGCGAAATTCTCTATCGAATGATATATAAAGTGGCGTGGTTAACGATAAACTGGTTGGACAATATAAGCGATAAACGCTGTTGACCTATGGATTTGTGGAGGTTGGGGCTAGTATTTAGGACTAGTGTTA